TCATTCTTTAATTCAATAAGTAATTTATTCAAGGTAGGAACAACTTTTCTGACAGTATACATTTCATGGATTTTATTTCTTAATGCGCATAAATCGAAATCATCAAGATCCACCGTTTTACGTATTTGACGATGTTTTCCAGGAGACTTGAGCTTTTGAGACGTAGAGGCAGCAACTTCACCTTCTTTAGATATTCTACTCACGGTTTTCCCCGACATGCCTGAAATATACACATAAATATAAAATTTAATATTTTATAAACACAAGTAATGACAATACTATCGAAATAAATTAAATTTACTGAGATATGTACTTTTTTATTTTAATTCTTTACGTCAGTAAATTCTTATTACCCATACTAAAGACATTGTGTCTGAAGCTGGTATCCCTATTTTACTAACCTGTCATGGCGGCGACTCGTGCTCGCACTTTATTAAGTCGAATTAACGGGGCTTGAAAGGCACGCACCTTCTACACAATCTCTCTTGCACTGCTTTTAAATGGCTTTGGCATGATTAATTTGAAGGATATTAAATATTATCACAAAAACTAACGGAACACTTCACAACAGACAATCTGACAACAACAGATTGACAAGAATGACAAGTAATAGTGCCAACATCACGGCAGGGGACAACTTACGGTGAAACGTCTGTAGTAGTATTAACATGTTCTTTCTAAACGTTTGCCTATATTTTATTTCAATATTTTTGATTATAAATAAATAATGCTAGAATTATTATAATATAGCTGAAATATACATAAATCTGCTAGTAAATACTATAAGTATCAAGGTGTTTCAAGGTTAAAATGAACCCAACAGTATGAATATAATTTTATACTTTATTAATATTTTATATTTACATAAAAAATTGCAGCAATTTTGATGGATGGCAGTTGCTTTGATGATAGTATTTTACTGCTTTTGACGAAATCGTTTCTTTCTATCCAGATATCTTTCAATGTGCGGCAGTAAGCTGCATAATGACCTATTCCACCGTCAATCATGGGTTCATCATATTTTATGACACCGCCAAGAACAAAAGTATTTCCTATGATTAATAGCTTTGTTGGTATCTTATTCAAACATGTTTTTATTGTTTTAGAATCTACAGCCTTGGCCAAAAGTATTAGGCACCCCAGAAAAATGCACAATTCATGTTTACTGATTGAACAATGAATAAATGCTTATCTTAGATGGCATGCCGGAGTCACAAATAACTTCCTAGAAAAGCAAGCAGCTATCTGTTATGGTCATAAAACACCTGGTGACTGAAAGGACTAAGGATTTGTTTTTATGCGTTCTTATCCGTCAATGTTTGGTCACTTGTGTTCAGGACTCTAACGAGTAAACAAGCTTTTATTTCTAACATAGTGATTAAATTGACACGTAATTTATTTAAAAATGCCGAAACTAAATGTGAAATTAGTTTGGAAAACCCAGTGAAAATACAATTTTTCCATGAACAAGGGAAGTCGCAAAAAGAAATTGCTAAGTTAGTGAAATGTTCGTGTTGCGCTGTGCAATCTGCTATCAAACGGTTTGCTGAGACTGGCAGTCACGCTAATAAACCAAGAACAGGCAGAAAACGTGTGACTTCGAAGCGCGAGGATAGAAAATTAATACGCGAATCTATGAAAGATCGGAAGAAAACATCATCAGAGCTTGCTGCTACTTTGTCCGAAGAGGCTGGAAAGCCAATAAGTGCTCGGATCACCAGAAGAAGACTTGGAGAAGCAGGCTTAAAAGGATGCAAAGCCAGGAAGAAGCCGTGGCTTTCAGAAACTAACAAAAGAAAATGACTTGAATGGGCTCTACGGCATCAACATTTCACTGAGGAAGATTGGGCCAATGTGGTATGGTCTGACGAATCTAACTTTGAGGTAAGTAAATTTTACTGCTTTTGTTATTAATAATCATGGACAGTTATTTATTTAACTAAAATAATAAAAGTTAAGGCAGTTTAAAGAAAGTGTTTTTTTTTCTTTTTTCAACAGATATTTGGAACGCCAGGTGTGACCTTCGTGAGGCGACGTGTGGGCGAAGAATACCATCCAGATTGCGTCGTACCGACAGTAAAGTATGAAGGAGGCAGCATAATGATCTGGGGCTGCATGGCTACTGATGGGATTGGCGAAATGTTTGTGTGCGAAGGTCGTATGAACAGCGAAAAGTACATAAAAGTGCTTCAAACTGCGCTTATGCCTTGGCTAACAAGTATTTTCGGCGATACCAACTTAGAGGGAGTTATATTCCAGCAAGACAATGTACCTTGTCATAAGTCAGTGACTACGATGCGTTGGTTTACTGAAAACAACATTGACTTGTTTGATTGGCCAGCGCAGTCACCAGATTTGAACCCAATTTAACATCTTTGGAGCATTTTGAAGCAAAAGATTAAAGAGCATAATATCACATCGAAAACGGCATTAAAAAATGCGTTAGTATAAGAATGGCATGCCATTACAAGGGAGGATTGTACTAAGCTTGTATGCAGCATGCCAGCTAGAATTAGTGCAGTAATTAAATCCAAAGGTGGACCGACTAGATTTTAAGTTTTTTTCATTCCTTTTTGTGAATTTTAATGGTAATAAATAAATTTAAAAAGTACAAGTTATTTTTTTCCATTATTTTAAGTAAAATGTAGGGTGCCTAATACTTTTGGCCAGGGCTGTTGTCAATTTGTGTATGTTCTTCTGGTGATATATTTAGGTCGGTAGGGCTTTCTTCAATGAATTCCTTTATTTTAATATATTATATAAATCCGTATATTTAAGGTAAGTAGTACAGACAAAATTCATATGGTAAGTGTCCTCGTTACAAGTGTGATCTATATATATAAGTGATCGTTGACATTTCAAAAAGTAACGAACCAAATACAATCAAAAGAGCGTTACTTCCAGTTCAATCTTCAATCCCCTCAGTTCCTTCCCAAGGTCCTAGATGGCGCTAGACGTTCTTAACAGCTGTATATTCAATTGTTTGGCATACGTTGAATGTTTATATGCATCTTCTGTGTCAATATACAAATAAGGACCTAAGACGAAATCTAATTCTGCGGATGATGTATGACACATGTCACAATATTCTTGTTTTTCTCAAGATACTTGTTTACTTCTTCTTGGAGATTTTATAATCATTTAACCGAACGATAGAAGTATTTGGAATCGGTAAGATGATCTTTTTATTTTGTTCTTCATTTCCACAAACACATGAAGTGATCTCTCTGAGAGAATTGTTATTTTTTCATTAATAGTTGAAACATCTCACCAACATTTTTATTACAATCTATTTTGTGATTAATTTTTTTTGAATATTAAATCGAGTATATAGAGACGACTTATGTACTATTTAGCTGTAATACCAGATTCGTAATGGTTTAACAGTGCACTAGCATAACATTTATAATTAATATTATATAACAGAAATGTCCCAGGCCTAACAAAGAAAACACAGTTTTTTTTGGTTCAAAATTAGCTTTAATCTTCAACGTAATCTCAATCAAGAGCAACACAATCATTCCAGCGCCGCTCTTACATTTCAATACCACTTTTGTAGAACGATTTATCTTTTGCCTCCAAATAGGCCTCAGTTTCAGCGATAACCTCTTCATTCGTGCGATATTTCTTACCGGCGAGCATTTTTTTCAGGTCTGCGAACAGCCAATAGTCTCTGGGAGCGAAATCTGGCGAATGCGGTGGATGTGCGAGCAATTCGAAGTTCAATTCATGTAGTTTTGCCATTGTTTTGATTGACTTGTGACATGGTGCGTTGTCTTGATGAAACAATTTATTTTCTTTGCCATATGCGGTCGTTCTTTGCAATTTCGGCCTTCAAACCCTCCAATAACGCTATATAATATTCACTGTTAATGGTATTTCCTTTGTCAAGATAGTCGATGAATATTATACCACGCACATTCCAAAATACCGAGGCCATAACCTTTCCAGCCGATTGTTGTGCTTTCGGGCGCTTTGGACGATGTTCACCAGTTGCTGTCCACTCAGATGACGATCGTTTTGATTCTGGATTGAAATGCTGGATCCATGTTTCATCCATTGTCACATATCGACGCAAAAATTCCGGTTTTTTACGTTTAAACATGGCCAAATACTGCTCGGAATCATCAACACGTTCTCGTTTTTGGTCAACAGTGAGTAAGCGCGGCACTCACTTTGAACAGAGCTTTCTCATAGTCAAATGCTCATGCAATATAAAGCCAACACGTTCTTTTGATACGATTTACGATGTCAGCTAACTCACACAACTTCACTTTTCGATCATTCAAAACGATTTTGTGGATTTTTTTAATGTTTTCTGGTGTTACCGCCTCATTGGACGTCCACTGCGTTCTGCATCATCGGTGTCTCTACGACCACGTTTGAAGTCAGCAAACCAACGTTTTATTGTTGTTTCTGATGGAGCGGAGTCCCCATAACACTTTTCAAGCTATTGCTTCGCTTGAACGGTATTTTTTCCCATCAAGAAGCAGTGTAAAATTAAACCACGAAATTGTTTTTGATCCATTGTTTTCAAAATAACAAAAGTAGCGTCACTCTTAACTCACAAACTTATGAATAGAATATCATGAAATTCTAACAGCTGTCTTTTGAAGGTTAGTATTAACTGAAAAAAAGGTGACTGCAATAAAACTAGCGCCATCTATGTGTTAGGTCCGGGACTTTTCAGCCCATGTAATAAATATAATCAGTGTTTTCTTCTTAAAAAAATTAAAACTATATATGCTACAACAGTGACATAAAATATCTGAGATAGAGTCAAATGGACAAGTGTTTATTAGAATAACTTTTAACCCATTAATAGATTTTGGTTACAATCGGTTTCCATTTTGTATGATGGCTTTCTTTTTTGTATATCATTTTGTATATTAGCTTTACTCAACTGTCTCCTGCATAGTGAATATGGTTGTATCACGGCCTTGTAGTCCCAAATTCAACTCATTTAATTTTGTGAAGATATCTGACAAGTAAGCCAATTTTTACACCCACAAAGAGTCAGTCAGCATCTGTTTGTACTCATCGTGTCCCTGCTCGACCAAAAATAACTCAATTTCATGTCTTAACTCAAACATTCTCGAAACAACTCTTCCTCTGGACAGCCAACGCACTTCAGTATGTAACAACAGGATCCCGTGTTCACTGCCAAGCTCTTTGCAAATAGCTGCAAAAATTCTAGAGTTTGTGGCGCGGGCCTTGATTAAGTTAACCATTTTTACAGCATTTTTTAGAGTAATATCTAAGCTGGCTGGAATTTTTTTACAAGCCAGTGCCTCTCGATTAATTCCACAATGCGTACATTTTGCTTCTGGGGCTATATCTTGTATCCGCTTTACAAGTCCTAAAAAACGACCAGTCGTTGCTCTGGCACCATCACTACATATTCCCACACATTTTGACCAATCCAATTGGTTTTCTTTTACAAAACTGTCGACCATATGAAATATATCCTCCCCGGTGGTGCGAATCGAAAGGGTACTACAAAACAGGAATTCTTCATGAAACTTTTTGGAATGAACATAACGAAAAAGTTTAGCCAAGTTTGTTATGCCTGTGGATTCATCAAGTTGTATGGCAAAGTAATAGCTTTCTAAAATCCGTTTATTTTTTTTGGGTTTTCAGATTCTCTGACATGTTTGCAATACGACGAGAGACAGTGTTATTTGACATAGGAATTACATCAAGTTCTCGTGCCATTTTTTCTCCAAACATACAATCCTCATACATACAAATACATACATTCGCTTGCTTAGCTATTTAATAACTCACTCTAAAAGAGGCTTGCAGAGCGTTGTCATTCGTGTTTTGGAAGAGCGCCTCAATAGATTTTTGTCTTTGTTTGAGATCTTTCAATTTATGTTGAAAGAAGGAAACAGACTGGTCTTTTAAATTAGCATGTTTGGTTTCTAAATGTCGACGTAGTAAAGACGGCTTTAGCGAATGATTTGACAGCGTTTCTGCACAAACGACACTCTGTGGCAACGGAAAATCAGGGTCTCCAGAGCTTGTAAAACCAAACTGAATATAACTATCATCATATTTCCTTTTTTTGAGAGACGATTCCTTGTTATCAAGTTTTCTTTTTTCTTGTGTCGGAGTACTGGTAGAGGATGACACATCATTGTCAGGTGACTGTTCAGTATTGCCTGATACCTCGGCAACCTTTTGGCGACTTATCAGCCACTTTTCCATCTGAAATACAACTGGACTTAATAAGCCGGCTTATATATTTTTTAATTTCAAAGCTTACAAAACAGTAACCGCGAACACGTGTAAAACTGAAGCAACTCAACTCATGTATTATTATTATTATAATTATTCAAAGTTTTTTAAATTATAAGAAAAATAAACTAAACATCGTTACGTTCTATTGCAATTTATAATGAAAGTGTAAGTTTAAAATTAGTTTTAAAACATTATCTTACCTTTTCCAAAGTATATTAGGCCGAGGTAACGCGACGCTTATAGTCTGGCCATAACTGTTGTGCACTCTCTGAGGTATGCGCGGCGAGGCGGGAGCCGGGGAAAAAAGAGCATGAGTACACATGCGATTAATACACGTCGGACAAATCTTACGATATCAGTTTACATTTCTAAGGCAAGACTTGTAGCGGAACGGAGGCTTTTTATTTGATAAAAATATATTATTTGTACTATCTTATTAGTTCATAAAAATGTAATCTACAGATCTCGATATTTTATTAAAATACCTAGACAGTTGATGAATAAGAACTAAACTAACAATTCAAATAAGGATTTGTTTTATTAAAGATTTACTATAATTACAAACAAATAGATATTAGTATAAGTATTTAAGTTATTCTGACATAGATTCTGTTTCAACTTCATCTTCCATTTCGTCATCATCTTCATCGCCCATATCGTCATTGGAACTTGAATAAGAGTCTTGCAAATTTATTATAAATGAATCGATAATATTATCGAACCTACTATCGCGATTCCAGTAATCATTTTCATTTTTCTGGACATGATCATCGCATCTCTGCCATTTCTCTGCTGTGAATTCCGAAAACAATTTATCCAATATGATTGTCTTTTCGTCTAGAGAAGAATTAATATAGTTTTAGGCTATGTTGTTTTAATATCAGCCCAGACCAACTCAATTGGATTTAAATCTGGATGGTACGGAGGTAAACGCAGAACAATGTGTCCGGGTTCTTTTTGTGTACTTGTGATGAGAAGTAGCATTTGAGCTTTTGTCATGGTTTCTGAAAATTCTACATTGTGGCGTAGCAACCAGTCTTGCATTTCTCTTTTGAGGCTTGATATTGTTGACTTCTTCTCAACCTGAAGACGACGTAAGACGCGTTGTCCATTACAACAACAGAATTCGGCGGCAACTTATCTTTTAACTTTTCATCTACCCACTGATATAAAGTAGGCCCGTTCATATCTCCATGATAGTCGCCAGTTTTAGCATCTGATTTGAATCAAGTCAATACGTCATCTACCAAGCCATTTCGACATCCAGCGTGGAGGATTACCAATCGCCGTCCTTTCGAAATATCAGCATGAATTCTCCGGAATTCATTTTGGCAATCATCGTCAGAATCTGCCAACATTTACAGGCATGGTGACTGGCGTTGATGTATGTTTCATCAAGAAAATATATGTTGCGATTTTGCGCTCTGTAATTTCTGATTTGTGTAAGGTATTTTTTCCGCCACACTGTAATATTAGGCTGCTCTGTAAGGAGTAGTCTCTTCGATTTGCATTTTTTGCAACGGTAGCCCATTTTGTGTAAAAACTGTCTTAAATATTCCCGTCTACAGTTCAATATGCCATCCTGCCTCAAACTTGATAGTAACTTACGGACACTTGGTATTTTTTTTCAACATCGTAAAACTGATGAATTTTTCTTCTGATAACTCCAAGATCAAAATCATCGACAACATGTTTTTTCTTTATAACTTTTGGTTTTTTCGGCGATTGAAACTGTAAACGGCTTGAATTTTCAATTGATAAATAAGCCGCAGAAATTACCGTAGCCTGCGCAACGATTTTAGCAATATTCGCATCACTTTTGAATTCAAAGCTTTCTCTGTCTGCTTTTCTTTCCTTAAAATATTCAGCCACTTTAAATGTTAAGATAGTAAACTCAGTATCGATTGCGACTTGTTTATTATAAAAAGGAAATAATACATGGCAAAAACTTACATGGTACCATTTTCGCGACACATAGACAAGAAGGAAGTGAACATAGAGTATACAATATAGAACTACAGAGTAATCTACCACAGATTAGTTATTGTGTTTCTCAACACGCCTCCTCAAATTAAACATTTTACAAAAAAAATAATTTGCATCAAACACATTAGTAACTTAAACGAAATATCTCCTTTATCTAACACATGAATTTGTCTCTAAATTTCACAAACTTTTCCTTACATAAACTCTTAGTCATTATATCAGAAATATTCTCATTTGAATTTATATATTCAATTCTTATAATGTTCCTTTCAACAATATCTTTAAGAAAATGTGTTCTAATGTCTATATGTTTAGTCCTCTTTGAATTCTCGTAGCTTTTCGACATTGATATGGCTCCCATATTATCTACAAATAACACAGCGTCTATCTTATAATTTAAATGTTCACTAAGTCCCTTCAGATTTATTAGTTCTTGAGCTGTAGTTGCGGCTGCAACGTACTCTGATTCAGCGGTTGACAATGCAATGCAGGATTGCTTCTTTGAGAACCATGCTATGGGATTTGTTCCATGCAAAATTATGCCACCACTTACACTTTTTCTATCATTTCTGTCACCTGCCCAATCCGCATCAGAATATCCATACAAAGTTTGATCAATAGTCCTTTTAAATATAAGCCCTTTGTCTTTTGTTTCCTTTAGGTATCGAATCACTCTCTTACTTGCTTTCCACAGTTGTTCATTTGGTTTATCCAGGAATCTACTAAGGTAAGATACAGCAAAAGTCAAATCTGGTCTTGATGTCATAGTTAAGTGAAGTAAACTTCCAATCAGTTCACGGTAAGGCACATTAAGTATTTCTTCATTTTCATTAGTTTGTATATTATAATTTATTTCCATTGGTGTTTTCGTTCCTTTACACTCAGCCATATTATATCTATTCAATATCTTTTCTATCATGTTGCTTTGTTTTATAATAACATTATCTTCATTTCTTTCTATTTCCATTCCTAAAAAACCTTTTATTTCTCCCAGGTTCTTTGCATTAAACTTGTTTTTTAAAGCTGTTATTATATCTTTTCCATTTCCCATAATTAATATGTCGTCGACATATATTAATATCCAGCAATCAATTTTGTAATACATACAGTAATCATATTCTGAACGTTGAAATCCATTTTCTTTTACAAATTTATTTATAGTTTCATTCCAGCACTTTGGGGATTCAGTCAACCCATATAGTGCTCTCTTTAATTTTAATACTGTATTAGAATCTCTTTGTTTTACTCCTTGGGGTGGTTTAATGTACACCTCAGACTTTAGTTTTCCATTCAAAAAGGCTGTGGGTATATCAAGCTGTGTTAATTTTAAATCTTCTTGTATTGCTTTAGATAAAAACATTCTCACTGTAGAATATCTTGCAACAGGTGCATAGTTGTTGTCAAAAATGTCTTTCTGTTGGAAACCTCTCACTACTAATCTTGCCTTCTTGGTACCGTCTTCTTTTACTTTAAAAGTCCATTTTGTATCTATAGCCTTCTTTTCTTTAGGCAGTTTTGTTTCTTCCCAGGTTTCTAACTTTACAAGAGCTTGTAGTTCTTTTTCGATAGCATCTTTCAACTCACAGTCATTCATTGCTTCTTCAAATGTGTTTGGTGTCTCGGCACTCAAGCATATAACCATGTTAGACTCATATTCTTTAAAACGGGTTGGTTGTTTTATTATTCTTCCAAATTTAGACTTCTTTTCAACTTCTATCTTCCCATTGTTAGTGTCTTTGTCTGTACTTTCATCCTTTTCTTCACTTTCTTTAATGTATTCTCAGTATCTTTATCTCTTTGTATATAGAAATCTTCTTCTTCCTTTTCTAGGAAATGTTTTCCTTCTGCATTCTCTTCCTTTTCTTTGTATTCAAAATCAGTTTCGTCAAATGTCACATCTCTTGATACAATTATTGTATTGTCTTCGGGATTCCATAATCTATAACCCACTGTATTGTAGCCAACCATTCTTGTTGGTGTTGCTCTCTTGCTCAATTTGTCCTGTTTTGGTGTAATAGTGGCCCATGCCTTTGATCCAAAAACTCTTAGTCGTGACGTATCATTTTGTCCTTTTTTCATGAAACATGGTGTTTTAAATTTGATAGCTGCTGAAGGTGACCTGTTCAATTGATAGGCAGCACACTGAATTGCTTCACACCATAAATGCTTTGGCAAGTTTGTCTCTGCAAACAAAGTTCTAGTTTTATCATACAACGTTCTATTTAAGCGCTCGGCTACTCCATTTTGCTGCGGTGTATAAGGTAAAGTATATTCCAAATTTATTCCTTTATTTCGACAAAAAAATTTGAGTTGATTAGCTGTGTATTCTGCACCATTATCACATCTTATTCTTTTTACTTTATTTCCCGTTTCATTTTCTAATTTTAAAATGTAGTTGATGAGTTTCTCGGTTGCTTCAGATTTATTTATTAAAGTATATACTACGCAGAAATGAGAATAATCATCAATTATAGTCATAAAGTATCTTTCTCCATTTAATCCACAGTTCTTCACTGGACCTGCGATGTCGGTATGTAACAACTCTGCTACTCCCTTAGATCTCGGCCACAGTATTGATTTAAAAGGCCCTCTGGTAGCTTTCCCTTCTCTACAGGCGCTGCAAATTTTATTAGACACTGGTAAATGCATAATACCTAACCCTTTTCTATTTAAATGCCCCAACCGTCTATGCCAAATGTTGGAAGGAACATTATTAGAATCATTTGTATTACTTGTATAGCAATTTTCATAATACATTTTTGCTTGTAATTATATAACCTATTTTCACAAAAACAAACAATATTATTATTTTTACCTCTTATTATAACTTTAGAATCATAAAATTGTAACGGTAAATCCTGCTTCAGTTATTCTTTTTACTGATAACAAATTATAGGTTAGATTTTAACAATTAATACTTCAATATTTATTCTTACATTTTATACATAAATTTTAGTTTACCTTTTTTATTACTTAAAATATATTGACCATTGGCAACATATATCTTTATACTGTCTTGTAATATTTTTACATCTGTTAGATGTTTCTCATACATTTCACTAATTATATGTTGGGTACAACCTGAATCTATTACAAATATAATATCCGAATCATTGTCCATTGCACTAAGCATATTTTCACTGGCAATGAAACTCAGATCACTCTTACCGACAAGCGATGATTCTTCACCTTGCATGCCTCGACCATGATGTCCTTGTCTGTGAAATTTTCTTCCAGACCCGTGACCACGACCGAATACTCTCCCTTGGTTTCTTCTATTCTGCTGACCTCGAGTGCTCCTTTTATTCTTGGAATTTTTGCACTCATAACTCTTGTGCCCGTTCATACCACAACTATAGCATGTAATGAAAGCATTTTCTCTTTCACTGCTTCCACTCTCTATATTTATTTTTGTTTCAGCATCCAGTAATCTTGACTTCACAAAATCAAAACTTAACTTTTTCTCTGTTGCCATTGTCTCTATAGAGGTGACGACAGGGTCATATTCTTTAGGTAATGATGATAGAAGATAACAGATCTTGTCCTCTTCCTCTACCTGGACTTCTATAGCATTCAGGTCATTTATTATAGCGCAGAATTTTATGAGGTACGTCTCTAAAGGCTCATTACATTTTAAGGTTATTAACTTCCGTTTCAGATGAAGTCGATTAAATACACTTTTTCTTTCAAAGGTATCTTCAAGTAATTTTAACATATTTTGTGCCGTTGTGCCATTTTTAATAATATCAATATACCGGTCGGAGACGGTTTGAGCGATAATTGATTTCGCTTTCGAGTCGTCCATTTTGAATTGAGATGTTTGCTCTCTTCCATCGTACTGAAGCACGTGGGCTACTTGTTTTTCTTCCAATAGCAATTTTAACCGAAACTTCCATGTGCTAAAATTTGATTTTTCGGACAAGCACAGTAATAATGAGACCGCAGTCCCTGCTGACGCCATTGCATGTTGATACATTATTTTCTTTGTTAATGTGCCGATATGGATCGCAACCCGCTTATTATAATTCTTTCTCACTTCGTTCTTTCGCGATCAATACTGGGGCAACCACGCTCTGCTACCATGTTAAGATAGTAAACTCAGTATCGATTGCGACTTGTTTATTATATATAATATTGTACTATAATACAATACTATAATACTGTAATTGTACAATTGTACTATAATACTGTATTATATACATGGCAAAAACTTACATGGTACCATTTTCGCGACACATAGACAAGAAGGAAGTGAACATAGAGTATACAATATAGAACTACAGAGTAATCTACCACAGATTAGTTATTGTGTTTCTCAACATTAAAAATAAGGGTTTTTACATCACGAGATAACGCAAGACCCATCTTTGAAATTTTATCTCATATGCCTCTGACTTTGACGGTCCGATACAAATGACACTACCTGCCACCACGAGCGTTGACGGCAGACTGACAGAGCGCGTCCCCCCCGTCTCGCCGCGCGCATACCTCAGAGAGTGCACAGCAGTTATGGCCAGACTATAGTACTTAATTCACAATCAAAACAAAACACTGTAGGCCTATCAGCACTCGCACGCGAATCACGGCTCGAATCGCGACGCGCAGCGCGGCTCGAATTGGAGCAAGAACTGCCTACAGTCCACACTCGCAGAGGTTCGCGCCGGGCTCACAGTATAGTTTGCGCTCCTTGACGCGTATGCACGCCAAGCATTTAATATTTAATCTTCCAATTTCAATCAATCAACATAGTTTATGTGTAGTCGGTATGGACAGTGAAACCACTACAGTAGCTGCGGGGCTACTTTGCGCTTTGGCAATTTATAGTTACGCCTTAAAGAAAAAACTAACAATTCAAAAGAAGCAAAGAAAATGGAGAGGGTGGATTACCACCATTCACCGAAACAGAACCAGGTAAGTACCAACTTATTATGCGTTCTCGTAGAGTTTAGAATATAGTAAGTACGTAGTACAAGATGGATGAAATAAATATAATTATATTCACTTTTAACTGTATAAAATTACAGTTTTAATAACAGTTAAAATGTAATATGCCGCTGTCACATATCTTATGGTGTGGGAACTGATACTTGATAACTTTGTATTTTGTTACAGTGCAACTGTTGAATGAACAGAACAGAAGCAGTTGAATGAACTAATTGCAGAACCTTCAGATGAATTCAAAAAGTTTTCCCGGATGTCATTAAATGATTTTGAATATTTGCTTAGTCAAATTTCAACACGAATTTCAAAACAAGACACCAAATTACGAAAAGCTATGTATTCCTCCCCAGATACGTCTTGCTATAACACTGAGATACTTAGCAACAGGAGACGACTATGAAATCCTTCATTTTGTGTTCAAAGTTTCACCACAAATAATATCAAAAATTATACCAGAAGTTTGCCATGCCCTATGTGAAGGGTTAGAGGATGAAATAAAAGTAAGGACATAAATTTAATAAATTTAATATGCTTATTTAGAACTAAACTTAAAATCTAGAATATAATTTAGTAAAATCAACCAAATATAATAACAAAATTCAATAGGCAATAAAAACAAAATTCGGTAATTTCAGTAGGTATTTAAATTAAGTCAAAAGCTGTCTGAACTATATCATTCTTATGATCAGATGTGTTTGCATCTTGGTTCCCTGGTATATGAAGGACAGGATACTCGTAATCTGGAGTACGACGTAGCCGGTTGGATTGAATAATAATATTAGAAGGTGGGGCTGATAATACTTGTCTATTTTGGTAATAAGCATTTTGATTCGCCTGCCCATAATGAAATGGAGGCTCTGAATGCGTAGATGATGATGTGCCCAGTCTTGGTTCATTAAAATTAGGTGGCGATGGAGTCATCACTAAAGGGCCATCAAATTGGTATCGTAAATACATGCCGTCAATATCGTGCATCAACTTCAATCTATTCTTTTCAGATAATTTTACGCAACTTATTTGCTAATAGTTTTCCGTATAAATCGCAATCATGGTCTTGCTGAATAGGCTGTAATGGGTTCCTTTTTAGCGAGGATTGGAAGGTGGCAAGAGCGTCTTTAACGAAATTTCCTGGGTCAACCAGTTCTGAAGAGATTTTGCGTCGTCGGATTGTCTGGTCGCTGTCTTTTTGGGTGTTAATAGATTTGATCGATTTTTACTCATTTCTTCAACATTATCTTCAATAGCTTCGAGATTTACTTCTTTAGGCTCCTTCACCCCACGTTCCTAAAAAAACACACATACATTTAGGCACCTACATACTGTTTTTTACATGAAGGTTTTATATATGTTATCTTTTTTGCAGATACCATCTTGTCCAGAAGAATGGTTGCGTATTGAAGGAGGATTTGCAAGGAAGTTTCCTCGAGCGATTGGATCTATTGACGACAAACATATATAACACATTATGTAATAAATTAACATGTAATAATGTACCTTAGGTATATTATTATAAAATAACGAGAGGACTGTCAAATAAAACAATAGTTTTTAATCATCAGTATAATCATCATTCATGAATTGTAAGTAATCATAAGGAAAGATAAAAGATTATTTGTTGTACAAATAAAAATACAGAAAATAAAGAACAACAAAAATAAAATTAAAACAAAATTTAAAATTGCAGGTATACATCATTTTTAATCAAAATAAAAGTAATAATAACAATCATTCATAAACTTTAAATAAATGATTAGACATAATCAGTCTTAGTAACAATTACTACTACTAATAATATATATATATATGAATAATAATAAAATCAATCTTTATTTATTATTTATCAGGGTAATTAAAACGTAACGATAACAAAACAAAAGCCATTAAATTTTTATGACTTGAATAATTAGGTACTTAGTTATTGGATCTGTCTAAATCGTGAATTAAAAAAATCAACAATTATACAGAATCACTGTAATCACTTTGGTGTTCTTCTTCATTTAGAAGGTTACCCTGCCGAAGACTTTAAAAAAAAAATATGATAACGCACTGGAATAATACCAGCTTCACATAAAGAAACTAAATCTTTATATTTGACGTTTTGTATAGAAAGGGGACCATTATATGCTGGTTTTAGGTCAAAATTGCTAACAAGGCGCTGTTTGTTACGCGTATTTGTCTTTAAAACCACAGCATCAAGGTCATAACGAAATTCAATCCTGTCGTAAACATTTGCAGCTACTCTAACCTCACGAATTGCATTCTACCTAACCTTTTCATTTGTCACAGATTTTACCCAATTTTTACCATTCGTCTGGTACATCAATTAACCTTCTTTCGCTAGCCCTCTCTATTACAGAATTAACGCTATCGCCTTCATTCTGTGTGTGTCCCTTTTCTAAAAAACGATGTATGATTGTGACGTTGAATTCTTTAGCAGCAAGAAGGTATAGAAAAATACAATACGGTTATGATTTTGCCCAGAGCAGTTGTCAGACCAAAACCGAAATTCAGTAATGCCTTTTCTCTTGGGTTCTTTAATAAAATCGTAGAGACAACTTGCAACCTCGTTTGCGCCTCTATTTGCAATACCTTCATGCCACATGTAACATGTTGCGTCTTTTGTTCCCATGTTAAACACAGTGAAATTATAAGTTGACCATTTCCTTTTATAATACAAGATACTGACTTATCCATGAGGAGATGGTAAGACTTTCTGGAAGTCAAACGTAGCTGCCAGGATATTACTGTTTAAGGTAGCATCCTCTTTATCTTTGTTTTTAAGATTTCGAGCTGTCTTCTTACGCTTTTCTTGTTCATTTTGGAAATGGGTTATTTTGAAATGTGTGGTAAACATCACAACAGTCTTTTTTGGGTTTGTAGAAGCCCAAGTTGAAATTAAAGTTAACTACATCTCTATATTGTCTTAAGGTTTGAGCTTTAGCCGCATATACATTTGGGTCAAACCATTCGCAATAAAGCTTGTACATGCGACTAAAACTCAAACCTTGCTCAAGATAAAGTTTATGTAATCGTTGTCTTATATAATGTGACTCAACGGGGGCAAAAGCTTTGACGTGATCACATACACTTTTCGTCACATCTTCTGTTATTTTAGTTTTTTTTATGATCATATCTTCCTCGTTTATCAACATCAACAGAAGTTGATCCATCGTATTTCTCCTAGGCAGTTTTTACAATACGTTCACCTACAGCTAGGGTATTTAAAAACATTGTTTGGCATACTTTTTTGGCTTGGTTATCTCTAAAGGGAAGAAAATAAAGAAATGTGAATTGTCTATTATGTAAAGTGACTTCTGTAGTCTGACGTTTCTTTGGTTGCTTTTTGGTATATTTAATCATGTATTCCCACTGTTTGTTTCTATCTCCAAGTGCCCAAATTTTTTTAAATAAATTTGATCGTTCTTCTTCTGTAAAAGCTTCAAAACATTTTAACCGACAACAACAAGGACTTTTCATAACTTTTTCAGGAAATGTTTTTCCTTTCTGATTAGAATAGCTTTTTCTTTGATTCTTCAATAATTTACTCTTAGTCACTATCCAGTCTTCTTTATGTACAAGTCGTTTCTTGCCTTTATCATTTTTATATGTTCTCTTTTTTATACCTTTGGTAAAGGTTGGTGTTGCACTATTTGCAATGGAAGATACAGAGGGTGTCGGCAAATTCCCGTAAAGATCATCAGGTGCTATTAAAATAATATCTTCAGGACACTGAACACAAAAGCTACTGTTACACAGTTCGTGAATCTGAACTGGTGATGGAACCGGAGTTGGTGTTTGATGCATAAGAGGTGATGACGGAGCAGGAGATGCTACTTTTTGAATTTTTACCGGTGATGGAGCAGTAACAGATTTAACGGATTAACTAATATTAATGTAGGCTATTATATTTGGGTCTAAATTTTCATTAATTTCTTCGTTTTTAATTTTGATGTCGTCCATCTTTTCCAACTCCATACATTCAGATTTGTCATCAAAAACATCTTTTAATAAACAGATAATTTTTCTATATTATGTTCTGGATCACTAGGTACAGGCGACTCTCGAAATACTGAAAACCAAAAATACTTTTGTTATAATTTTTTTAACTTCAATAAAATAAGTTAGCTGCTTTCCATATTACAATAAGAATTTAGATTTTATTTAATTATTTTAAAGTTAGGGTTATTTAATCCAGTCCATCGTGTGATTTGCGATCAATCAAGTCCTAAATTATAGTTAAGTCAAGATTGATTTAGTCACTTACGATCGTTAAAAAAAACATAGCAGATTCTACTACATATATTTAGAGGGTATGTACAGTCAAAAACGTCGGAACTGACAGATCCTACAATATATATTTGAAAGTCTACAGTGAAAAACGTTGGTAATTGTACATCCTGCAATATGTATTTCAAAATTTACGGTCATTAGTGTCGGATGTGACCAATACGTACATTTTAAATGGACAAACAAGTATTTTGTTTTGTAATTGATTAACTGATCTTGTAATATCAAATACTGTCTAAAACTAAACAGTAACTACTCATTACATAAGCAGTTAACCTAAAAATAGTTAGTAATTCAAATAAAATGCAGAATCTTACCTGTATCAGTGTTCGAAGGTGTTTCACTATTATTATTATTTTCAGTAATTGCTTTATTATTTCGAATTAAGCTCATTATCTTAGATGATCTGCCCCGTCTGTTTGTCAACGACATGATAATTTAATAAACATACACTCGCACTGCAAAACTTAATTTACGTGCAATTATCCCTGCATTAACACAGCAACTGGCAGATCCACTCGCTCGCACGCTCGACGCGTCCGAATAACATCTACAGTTCGACACTACCTACATTTATGAATGGACACAAGCGGTACTACCTCGTCGGTAGTACCGCTTGTGTCGTGTGCTATTGGTGTGATTAACTTTGTAAATCTATTAAAATGTTTTTTTTTTCATGTGGGATTATCTAATATACTTTTTTACATGTTTTTATGTAATACAAACAAAATCGATAAAATTCAGATCCTACAGTAATGATAGGGCGTGGCGATATACTTGTATACTACTACATAACTTCTTGAGACGAAGTTCTACTTCTTTACATTTCTATACACCACCCGGATCTAGATAGATAGATAGATAGATAACTCTTTATTGTACAAAAAAACATAATAAAAAGAAGAAATCAGTTTTGTATACATAGTGTGTCTTATATCTAAACTTAAATTAATGTAACATGGAGAGTAAAATGTTAAAATTTGTACAATTGGCGGCCTTATCGCGTTTTGCGATCTCTTCCAGGCAACCACTGGATGGAGAAGGAGAATAGGAGTGAGATAGGGGGTTGCAGTTTGTAGATCGGAGTTTTTTGTAAATTAAGACTATTTGATTATACAAACTAATTCAAACATATACACTAAACACATACACACATCACAACACAATAAATTCATTACACAAAATATACATTTAACAGAGACTATAGAAGTAAGAGACAGATAAATAAAAGATTTCTGACTGAGTGAAGGGACTCTCGCTTAGCAGCTTCGGAAATGGTCCTTCAGCAACCTTTTGAAACAGGGCAGTGTTTTTGCTCGTCTGATGGGCAGTGGCAATGCATTCCACAAGCGTATAGACTGCACTGTAAATGACTTGTCCATAAAAGTCGAGGTGTGCTTCGGCATTTCCAAAGTCAAGCTCTCTGACGATCTTAAGGACTTTGAATGCGTATCACGTAGGAATCTGAAGCGTTCCTTTAAATAAAGGGGAGTGTTGGGATTAAAGAGAATATTGTATAATAGTGAAAGGATATGAATATTCCGGCGAAGACGAATGGGTAACCAGTTAAGCTTATTCCGAAATTCAGAAATATGGTCAAATTTGCGCAATCCAAAGATTAACCTTATGCAAAAGTTTTGGAGCCGCTCAACCTTATTAAGTTGGTCTTCGGTGAGATCGGGATAGCTGGTATCTGCGTAGTCAAGGATTAGGAGAAGAAGGGATTCTGCAAGCGCAATTTTGGTCGTAATTGGTAAAAAGTTACGCAGCCCTCTCAGAGATCCAACAGAAGCAAACAGTTTCCTACTGACTTCTTGTAGTTGCGGACCCCAGGACAAGTTTTTATCGAGGTGAATTCCCAGATTTTTAATGGTGTTCGAGATCGGAACTAAGGCCCCATCGCAGTATATTTGGGGCTGATGTGACCAATCGACTTTTGATAATGTCCTAGTGCCACCGATAATGATTGTTTGAGTTTTAGATGGATTCACTATTAACCCGGATCTATTGATATGTTTGATGATGATGGAGTTCTTATACAACCTGGATCATGGAGGACAGATCAAGAAAATACATCCGCTTTTCGTAACTTGAGAAGAGTACCTCGGCGATCAGCAAATAACGCCACAGAAACAAGAAACGAATTCACAAAATATTTAAGTAATATTTAAGTACCTAACTAATAAAAAATAAAGTTACCTACTTACCGTATTCATACTTTTTTTTACATTTTAGAGTATCTCCCAAAAAAGCATTCATTGCTTCGTAAGCGAACCAAATAGGCTGATATATCTCATCGGCACCAGCTCCCGATTGAACGGACTTCTTAACTTTTCCCTTGTAGCTCCTATAGCTTGACATAAGAGAATCTTTTTGCTTTATCAAATCATCAATTGATATTTCCATCACCGTACTTAACCGCATCCAAGCATCGTGGGTTTTCAATTTATTTTTATAGTCTTTCAAATTAATGTCCCACAAAACCGGCTCAGCACGAAAACATTCTATAAACTATAGTTCTAATTCATTGCTCCAGACGATACTCATTTTGCACGCAAAATCGTAGTCTTTATTAAAAAATGAAACACACACACACAACCGTCCGTGTCAATTGCTACTGAGCGACTGAGCTGCCCGCGAATGTAGAGTCTTGTCGTGCGAGCCCTTTGTCGCGGGACAAAAAACCGACAATTTTCGGGGAACACAGCGCGAACGAGCCGCGAAGAATATGTGAATCGGATTTACACTCATGTTACGCGGGTGCTTCGCAACTTCGCGCGCGATGATTGTCATGTTTTCCTCGAAGTTCTTTGAGCTGAACTCTGACAATGTCACTGTAAAAAATAAAACCTCAGTGTCTTATTTAGGGTTAGTTTCAGAAAGAACCTTTTCATTTATCGAACATATTAACATGTTAATGAAAAGTCTAAAAAGAGTTTCTGTGCATTGACAAGGATATCAACTGCGACATGGGGTCTATTATTTAATACACTAAAGATCATATACGGAGCTACTTATTCAGGTTCTACGTGCTATGGTGCACCTGTATGGGCCGATAGTGCAACCGTAGGCGCTGTCCGTCGCAAACTGTTACAAGGCCAACGACTTGCACTGATATTCTTGTGCAAGGCATATACGACGGTTAGCACTGAGGCTTTGCCGGTGTTGGCGGGTGTGCTTCGGGTCGATCTCAAGGTGCAGAGACGTGCAGCCTATTCAAGACAACAAAACATGAAATGCAATGTTTTTGGGCGCACGAGATCGCGATAAAATTACAAGAAATTTACCACCCTCGTTCTTGAGGGTCAGAGAGCACTTGATATGCATTCTGAACCAACTGCAATAATTGTTCCGTCGCCTCCTTTAACTCCTCAAACATTATCAAGTTCTTGTCCAGACACCGTTGTCTAGCAAGTCGCCGTCGCCGGTAAGCTCTCTTCATTTCTGAAGGAAGGGCATCTTGTCTTTTTCAATTTCTTCAATTATTGAACACTTTGTAATAGCACTTCGTGTTATAATTATTGTCCAGATACCGTTGTAAAACAAGTTGCCGTCGCCGGTTAGCCCTGTTTCCTTCAAAAGGGTGGTTTATGTCATCGTGTCTTAAATATAACACTTGGTTAGGCTACTTCATTTCGATGTTATATGTATAACACTCTACGCTCACTTTTGCAATATATCTCAGACCGTTGAAAATTACCACGCTTACCTATGTGTATTTATTATAATATCTTTTATTATCCTAAAACAGCAAAACGGTAACGTACATATATGTTACTCCAGTCTACTTAACACGTTCCCTGTCCGCTGAGCCATATATGTGCGTCAGAGGACATATGCAACTTCAACAGTCAATAATTCAACTGAACGTGCTGGGACTGTACTGTTTCTGCACCGGACGTGCTGGTACGATCATATAGTAAAGAAAAACGCCGGGATTCTAAACCAACTGCAATAATTGTTCCGTCGCCTCCTTTTCCTCCTCAAACATTATCAAGTTCTTGTCCAGATACCGTTGTCAAGCAAGTCGCCGTCGCCGGTAAGCTCTCTTCATTTCTGAAGGAAGAGCATCTTGTCTTTTTCAATTTTTTCAATTATTGAACACTTTGTAATGGCACTTCGTGTTATAATTATTGTCCAGATACCGTTGTAAAACAAGTTGCCGTCGCCGGTTAGCCCTGTTTCCTTCAAAAGGGTGGTTTATGTCATCGTGTCTTAAATATAACACTTGGTTAGGCTACTTCATTTCGATGTTATATGTATAACACTCTACGCTCACTTTTACAATATATCACAGACCGTTGAAAATTACCACGCTTACCTATGTGTATTTATTATAATATCTTTTATTATCCTAAAAGAGCAAAACGGTAACGTACATATATGTTACTCCAGTCTACTTAACACGTTCCCTGTCCGCTGCGCTATATATGTGCGTCAGAGGACATATGCAACTTCAACAGTCAATAATTCAACTGAACGTGCTGGGACTGTACTGTTACTGCACCGGACGTGCTGGTACGATCATATAGTAAAGAAAAACGCCGGGACATACGAAAAAATATTTTTATTTTTTCAAGAAATTACAAATTATTTCTAAACTGTTCCTTATGTTGGTTTTTGAAGCAGCACAAACAAAACGATTTTTTGCATTGCAAACACTCAGTGTCCACTCGTTTTACTCTCTTTGCAGCGATTTCCCAGTTTGCATCCTCTTTTCGCAAGTCTTGATAGCATCCATGACATCGTTTTCGGACAATTTTATTGTCCTCTTTCCTCGGAATTTTAGACAGAAAGTGCTGACTGGTGATCGAACTAGTAGATGTTCTTGGACTATTAGTCAAAGTATTTGGACTCGCATCGGATACATTGTTCAATTGCAAGAACTCTTTTATAATTTCTTGCTGGGTCTGTAGTACGGTTTTGCATAATTTTCTAATAGTAGTTGCATGTAGTTTCTGATACAAAATCGTGGCGTTTGTTACTGATGCACAAATCAAAACATCTAAAGCGATCTTTTTGTACCATGCCAGTGACTTTCTTTTAGGGTCAGAATAACTTGAAAGCTGGTCAGATACATCTAGCCGTTTTTTCGCTCATTGTAATAGAGCACGGCTTCCGGCTTCAACATTGGCCGATATCCCAAAGACATTTTCATACTAGCGTCATGACATGTAGAAATCATTGCAACGTCTTTGTCTCTCCATTTCATCACTGTTATATTGTCCTTCTGACGAACAATTACTTCACCTTGTTTAGGGCGCATTTTTTTCGATCTTATTGACCATGGAAGTTCTATTCTATTTACCCGTAAAGTGCCGCATAAGTCTGACTTACGCTGTAGTAAATATTTTGCTAGTCCTACAGTGTTGTAATAGTTATCGCTCACAATTATACGTCCAGCATCTAGAAGACCATCACATAACTGAACTACGATACTCCCCGGCTTATCCAAACCAGCGATCTCGGGGTCGCGCCCTATGTAAATATCATTGTTCCAGATAAAACCCTCTTCTGTTCGGTCTCATCGGAGCTTCAGCTTCGATGCAACGCCTCATGGACCGCCTGTTTGGTCCCGAGTTTGACAATAGGGTATTTGCGTTTCAGGACGACATAATCGTTGTGACCAGCACCTTTGAGGAGCATGTGGACCTTTTACATAGACTCTATCAGCGCCTTAAGGATACGGGCCTCACGATCAACATGCAAAAATCGCATTTTTGTCGTAGCGAACTGAAATACCTCGGGTACTATGTTGATAAGCATGGCCTGCGGACAGACTCAGGTAAAGTTGATGTCATTCTCAACTATCCTACACCTTCCAATGCTAAGTAGGTGAAAAGATTCCCGGGCATGGCTGGGTGGTATCGGCGTTTCGTGAACAATTTTTCTAAGATTAGTGAACCCTTATGTAAATTTACTTCTAAGAATGTACCATTTGAGTGGACGCGTGAAGCTGAAGAGTCTTTCAACCTATTGAAAGCCGCTTTGGTCACCGCTCCTATTTTGAAAATACCTGACTACTCTTTACCTTTTAGGATTCTCAGTGACGCGTCCTCCTTGTCTGTGGCTGCTGTACACACGCAGACACATGAGGGAGTGGAACACCCTATAGCGTATTGTAGTCGTTCTCTCAACAAAAACGAAGTCAACTACAGCACCACTGAGCGAGAACTTCTAGCGGTGATCTTTGCTCTGGAACAGTTTAGGCAGTACGTGGAAGGCCAGAAATGCACCGTAGTTACGGACCACGCCTCGCTACTGTGGTTCCGCAAGCTTAAGAATCCGACAGGTCGCCTAGCGCGCTGGAGCATGAGGTTGAGCCAGTTTGACGTCGATATAGAGCATCGAAAAGGTAAAGACCATGTGGCACAAAAGAACATTCTATCTATCTAACTATTCTATTCTATCTAAAGACAGCTCAGCTCATTGCTCATTTGTGGGCATGCCGGTTAAACTGAAAAATATATTAAAAATAAATTTTTGCATTATAATTCTTGCATTAGATTTAAAAAAAAGGAACAATTTCTTTTTATATCCCGTTATATAAATATAAATAAAACATCAGTATTTATTAACTTCGTAACTGATAGCTGATTACTCTGGTGTAACCTAATGTATCTTCTATACAACGGAGATAAATGTCCAATGAATTGGCCATATTGACTGTGGCCTCTGCTCGCATACGGCTTTACTCAGCAAGCAACCTTCTCGCTGCTTCCTGTGACATCGTCGTAGGCCTGCTCCGGTGTCTTATCTGTACGGACGCTCTCCTCGGTTCAATTGGCTGAACAGGTTGGGTATCAGGCTGAGCGGGTTGGGTATCAGGCTGAGCGGGTTGGGTATCAGGCTGAGTGGGGGGTGGTTGATCCTGAATGGTGAATGGATGGATGGATGATTTTGCCAGGCCAGTGTTTGCATCTGAATCAATAGTTGCCATCGATGCAAAAACTGCAGTATCCGTAGTAGCTTCATTTGATGTTTCCTGCAAAACAAATTAGCTATTATTTCAATGTTTTTAGCTTTGTTAGTAGTTTTGAGAATTACTGTTTAAGTTTCTGTAAATGTAAACTATGATATTACCATTGTGATCAGTAGATTGTGTTGTAAATTATAAGAATTAGATCTATTATTTAGAGGGCAACAGCCCTATAGGTACAGTAATATATACCTCAGCCTGTGCTTGTCCACTGATGAACATAGGCCTCTCCCAATGATTTCCAGCGGGGACGGTTGATTGCGGCCTGCATCCACCGGTTTCCGGCAACCTTTACCAGGTCGTCCGTCCATCGGGTATGCGGTCGTCCCACACTGCGCTTTCCAGTACGTGGTCTCCATTGGAGAACCTTGCTGCCCCATCGGCTGTCAGTTCTCCTTGCTATGTGCCCTGCCAATTGTCACTTGAGCGCGCTAATCCGTTGGGCTATGTGGCTACCACCTTTGTTCTCCTGCGGATCTCCTCGTTGCGGATTCGATCACGCAGGGAAACGCCAAGCATAGCCCTTTCCATAGCACGCTGAGCGACTCTGAGCTTTCTGATTAGGCCCATTGTAAGGGACCACGTCTCAGTTCCGTAGGTCATCACTGGTAACACACACTGGTTGAAGCATTTCATCTTTAGGCACTGAGGTATTTTGGACGTGAAGACGTTTCGTAATTTCCCGAACGCTGCCCAGCCGAGTCGGATTCGACGATTGACCTCTTTCTCGAAGTTGGACTTACCTGATTGGACCGTTTGTCCTAGGTAGACATATTCGTCCACAACTTCGAGGACAGAGTTTCCCACGACTATGGGAGTCGGCGCGACATGGACATTCGACATGATTTTCGTCTTGTCTATGTTCATTTTAAGAAACTCCGTCAAGGTCAGCGAGCATTTGTCCCAGGTCTTATAGCGATTCTGCCATGACTATGATGTCGTCGGCAAATCGAAGGTGAGTAATGTATTCGCCATTGATGTTGATGCCAAGTTCTTTCCATTCCAGGAGCTTGAAGGCATCTTCCAGAGCACCGGTAAACAGTTTCGGAGAAATAACGTCTCCCTGTCTTACCCCTCTCTGTAATGGAATTGCCTTCGTGTATTGGTCCTGTACTCGAACTGACATATTGGCGTTATTATACAAACACTTCAATACCTCGATGTACCGATAGTCAATACGGCTCCGCTGGAGAGACCGAAAGACTGCCCAAGTTTCAATCGAATCGAAGGCTTTCTCATAGTCCACAAACGCCAAGCATAGTGGCCGATTATATTCCTCGGTCTTCTGTATAATCTGCCGCAGCTTATGTATGTGGTCTATGGTACTAAAGCCTTTTCGGAAACCGGCTTGTTCAGGAGGCTGGAAGTCATCAAACCGACGTTGGAGACGATTCGTGATGACTCTTGAAAACAGCTTGTAGACATGGCTTAGCAGTGTGATGGGCCTGTACTTCTTCAATAAG